AGTCTTGAAAGATAGTATTATTATTATTTTCCAAACTCTGGTCCTCAAGATGTTTTTGGACTTCAGCTCCCTGAATCTCTGATCATTGGCCAGGGCAGCTGAGTTTTCCAAAGTCCAAAATACATGGAGGCTTAGAATATGGGAATCACTGATTTAGATTGTGTTTAGATTTTCTTCAAACCCTGTATGTTTGATCTTGCAAATTCTGTGCAACATATTCTTCATCTGGCAAGCTAAATTGAACTTTGTTCGAAGTCTTCTTTCTGGCACAGTCACAAGACAACAGACATCTCACAGCTGCCTCCTCACAAAGATTCACTGCTGCTTGAGGCCACTTGTCTTCAGTTGACAATCTGTCCAGTCACTTGCTCACAGAACTGCTCTTGGCGTCTCCCTCTCCAAGGAGAACATCTTTATTGCTTCTGCCAGGGATGATGCTCATCATTGCTACTAACTGACCCTTGACAATGTTGTGCCTGACCTTTTAAACAGTCAGCCAGAATTCCCTGATCAGTAATATTTTAGCACATGGTCAAATATCCATCCATTGACCTGTTTTTAAGAACACGCAAGAGCAAATAGAGTGTTCTCTTTTGCACCTTTCATAACCTTTCCTTTTACTGGCACTATAAAAGCAACTGGGCCCAGCCATAAACCTACTAAGGCATATAGATGATGCTTTGGCAACACTAACAGCTATGCTGACCCTTGTTAAATCACCAAAATGCAACTATTTAGACTTCAGAAATCCACTGTCAGGTTTTTCAGCTGACTCTTCAACAACTGATGTTCAGGCATCTTTATATATCTAAAATAGTGCTAGCCACGTGAGAGGAGGAGGCAACAGGGAAAATGCAAAAACTCTTTTTCCAGAAATATAAAAAAGAGCACTTGCTGGGAGGGATGACATGATAGAGGGAACACTGAAGAAACATTTAGTAACAGAAAGTGTTTAGTGGGCACAGAATTACAACCATCACTTTGAGTAGCATGGAAAATGAGTTTAGGATTAATAAGGAACTTCTTAGGAGAGGAAAATAGCAAAAGGGAACAATAAACAAGAACATATTGTCCTGAAACAATTTTGTTTCATGTCCCGCTAGTACATATTCATTTGAGCAGAGAAGAGTTAACACGGCAGTACATTTTATCAATTATCCAAACTGAATCTTTTATGGAAAACTGCTTGCAAGACCAAGGCTTGAAACAATATTAAAGGTTGAGTATCCCTTATCCAAAATGCTTGGGTCTAGAAAAATTTTGGATTTTAGATATTTTTGGACTTTGAAATACATATATTTGCATATAAATACACCATGAGATTTCTTGGAGATAAGACTAAAGTCTAAACACAAAATCCATTGATGTTTCATAAACACCTTATACACATCGCCTGAAGGTAATTTCACACAATATTCAAAGTGATTTTGTGCATGAAATGAAGTTTGTGTACAGTGAACCATCACAAAAAAACGAAGTCACCATCTCAGCCACTCATGTGGACAATTTTGGAGTATTTGAGATTTCAGAATTCCAGAAAAGAGATGCTCAATCTGTATTAACCTGTCATGGTGCTGATAGACATGATGTTTTGTGGGCTATTATATTTTTGTTCTTTGAATCATAAATATCATCATATGACTTGGCCATTGTGGTCCACTCCTGAGTTACATCCAGAATGGACTACTGCACTCTATGTTGGGCTGCCTTTAAAGATGGCTCAGAAATTGCAGCTAATGCAAAGGTCGGCTGCCAGATTACTAACTGGAGCTAGCTACAACAAACATACCACACTCCTGCTGAAGCAGCTCCATGGCTTCTGACAAGTTTTCAGGCTCAATTCAAGGTGCAGGTTATTACCAAAAAACCCTAGACGTTTCGGGTCCAACCTATCTTAGTGACTGCATCTCTTTCTATGAACTGGTGCAGAGATCGACAGAGGAGGCCCTTCTCTCAGTCCCACCACCATCTCAAGCAGGGTTGGTGGGGATGAGAGAGGGCCTTCTCTGTGGTGCCCCCTGGCTCTGGAACATCCTCCCACCTTTTTATTCTTCCATTCCAAGATGAAACATGGATATTCAGACAGGCCTTTGACTTGAGTCAGCTGAATGGGCCCATATGAAGCTGACACTTGGTACCTTGTGAATTGACAACAGTTTTATCTACTGTTGTTTTAAAATTGTATTATTTGGATTTTATGCTACATATGTTAACAGGGGCTGTTGTTATAATTTTATGTGACTTGTTTTATACTTTTGTACCATTTTTATGTGTCGTGTGTTATATGTGCACCTTGGAGTGCCTTGTAAGCTGGCCGAGTCCCTTCGGGGAGATAGTGGCAGAATATAAATAAAATTATTATTAGGTTGTTGTAGATATTTCGGGTTATATGGCCATGTTCTAGAACCATTTCATTTCTCCTGACATTTCACCTGCATCTATGGCAGGCATCCTCAGAGGTTGTGAGTTATTATTGTTATTATTAGTATTCAAATGTGGTTAATCTGTGAAAAGCCATTACTCTAGGCTTATTCTACTTACTAGTCCTACAAGTCCCAATCATGGTTGGAATCCTATCCTCGAATCTCAGCAACACTGGTCTTATTGAGTCAGTAGAAGAACAGCTAGTTAACATGCAGGTAAATTCAACTGATTCAGTGGATCGGTTTTAAATCAGGAGTGATACTGTGATTTCGGCTGTTGCATGAGCAACTGAAAGTTGCAATTTTCAGAGAAGCGGACCCAGAGAAAGGGGAACTCCTTCAGGAAGTCCCACAAGAAAATGTTGAGTGCTTGCTTCTTTTGGTACTTTGCAATACACATGAACCACAAGATTCACTTCCTGCTTTTTGTAACTACAAGAGGAAAAATATTTTTAAAAGATTGCAGTTTGCCAATTGATATAACTACTTCCATATATTTATATGAAATAAAAATACAAAAGGATTTTAATACCATTAATATTTAATTCTATTTTAATGTTTGTACATTTTAAGTATTAAATTGCATTGCATTGGTTTAAATGTAAGCTGATTTGAGCCTCTTTTGCAGAGAAAAATAGCAGGGTATGCATTAAAAAATTAATAGTAACAGTAAAAACAGTAATAACAATAGTAATAATAAATAATTTTCTGCCAGACTGCTAGTGTCTCACCAAACTATTAGTCCCATGATTTCACAGCATTTAGCCACAGCAGTAAAAGTGGTGCCAAACTACATTAATTCTCTGACATAAATATGCAAGAGGATCTTGCAGCACCTCTGAGATAGAGGCCCCTGCTACACTGCCATATAAAATCCAGATCATCTGTTTTGAACTGGATTATATGGCAGTGTAGCAGGGGCCTGAGAGAAATGACTATCCAAGGGGGTCATGTTTCTTTCAATCTGACTGAAAGAGAAGTTGGTAGCACATGCATTCCTGGACTCGATTCTCAAGTCTACTTCCTCATATGCAGATCTACCAGAGTTTATGCTACCACCCAGTTTCTCTGTTAGTCAGGGGGCCCCTCTACACTGCCATGTAATCCAGATTATCAAAGCAGATAACCCATATTATCGTCTTTTGAACTGCCATATAATCCAGTTCAAAGCAGATAATTTGGATTTTGTATTGCACCGGTAATGAAGATCCGCATAGTTAAAGCAATGGTATTCCCCATAGTCATCTATGGATGTGAGAGCTGGACGATAGGCAAGACTGAGTGAAGGAAGATAGATGCTTTTGAACTGGGGTGCTGGAGGAAAGTTCTGAGAGTGCCTTGGACTGCGAGACAATCCAACCAGTCCATACTTCAGGAAATAAAGCCTGACGCTCATTGGAGGGAAGGATGGTAGAGGCAAAGATGAAGTACTTTGGCCACATAATGAGAAGACAGGAAAGCTTAGAGAAGACAGTGATGCTGGGGGAAATGGAAGGAAAAAGGAAGAGGGGCCGATCAAAGGCAAGATGGATGGATGGGATCCTTGAAGTTACTGGATTGACCTTGAAGGAGCTGGGGGTGGTGACGGCCGACAGGGAGCTCTGGCGTGGGCTGGTCCATCAGGTCACGAAGAGTCGGAAACAACTGAACGAATGAACAACAACTGCAGTGTAGAAGGGACCTCAGTTAGACTCAAAAGTGCTACATCAGGCATGGGCAAACCTCGGCCCTCCAAGTGTTTTGGACTTCAACTCCCACAATTCCTAACAGCCTGGATGGCTGAAGTTTGCCGATGCCTGCACTGTATGATTCCACAGCACGGATCCATGGTAGTTTGAGTGGTGCGGAACTGCATGAATGCCGCAGTGTAGATGCACCTTAGTTGGGACTAAACTCACTTCGACCAGAGCTAGGCTGGATTTCCACTGGCATATAATCCAGTGTCTGAATCCGGATTATGTGCTTTGAACTGGATTAGTTGTGTCTACACACCATTTCCTATATATGTGAGCCTATATATGTGAGAAGGGCGGGGTATAAATCTGGTAAATAAATAAATAGACTGGCATATAATGGATTCAAGAAACTGGATTATATAGCAGTGTAGATGGGGCCCTAGAGCAGCGTTTCTCAACCTGGGGGGGGGGGGGGGGGCCCTTAGGGGGGTTCAGAGGGGTCAGCTACACAGAAACCCCCATGACCAACGAAAATATTGTGTTTTCTGATGGTCTTTGGCCCCCCCCCCCCCGCATCACCCAACAACCCCCCCCCCCCCCGGGAATCTTCCAAAGTTTATGCTTCCAAACTCATTCTCTTTGTTAGTCTTAAAGGAGCTATAAGAGTTGCAAAGTGATATTGCAGACAAAGTCTTTAACAAAGGGAGAAGTTTGGCACCATAAATGCCAGCCTCCTCCTTGAGATATCTAGGGAAAGGAGTGTTCCCCAGCCAGGGAAGGCGCAAGGGTGCCTTAAGGCCAGGAGGCAAGGAATGTGTCCAGGGCAGGGCAGGGCAGGGCAGGGCGAGGCTGCAGCCCGAGCGGCAAGGCCAGTCTCCTCCTGGGCGGGAGGGACCCGGCGGGGAAGGCGGTCCGAGGGCGGCAGGGAGGAGGCCGGGGTCCACTTTCGCTTTGGCCCCGATGCCTCGGCCTTCCCTGCCTGCGCGGCGTGGCCAGGTCCCGGGCGGGCCCGGCGAGGCTCCTCCGAAGGCGCTGCGGGCCAAGATCGTGATGGCCGGCGAGTCCTGCGTGGGCAAGACCTCCATCCTCCAGCGCTACACCGAGCGCGGCCCCACCGCCTCCTACATCGCCACCGTCGGTGAGTCCCGAGGCTCGTCCTCCAACGGAGCCCACTTTCACTTCCTTGGCTCAGTCCTATGCAAAGCCTTTGCTGGCCGTGCACCTAACTCCCAACTCCCAGGATTCCACAGCACTGAGCCAGAGCCCTTAAAGTGGGGCCAATCTGCATCGCCAAATTACCCAGCAGGGTCATTATCCACAATTACAATGAATGCCGTTTGACCTCACTTTGATCTCCCAAGGCTCAATGCTATGCAACCCTGGGCTTTGGAGTTTTCCACGTTCTTTGCCCTTCTCTGCCAAAGCCTGGCCCAACTACAAACCCCATGATTCCATAGCATTGATGGGGTTGAACCGCATTCATTCTGCAATGTAAAAATTCTCCCCAAAACCGTCACTTAGCAATTAATTTGCATCAAAGGGCGACACAAGGCCCTGTTACTTTATTTAATAATGTGAGATGGAGCCCTTGGTGGCGCAGTGGGTCAAATCCCTGTGCCGGTAGGATTGAAGACCAACAGGTCACAGGTTCGAATCCGGGGAGAGCGCGGATGAGCTCCCTCTATCTGTTCCAGCTCCTCATGCAGGGGTATGAGAGAAGCCTACCCCAAGAATGATAAAACATCAAAAACATTCAGGCGTCCCCTAGGCAACGTCCTTGCAGATGGCCAATTCTCTCACACCAGAAGCGACTTGCAGTTTCTCAAGTCGCTCCCAACATGACAAAAAAAAGTATGTGAGATACTGGGATTTGCAGTTTGGGGAAGCCCAGGCACTCTCTTTGTTGCCATGCCAGTTAAAGATTACTGCAGACACAGACGGCAGCCAGGAAATCAGAAGACGTTTACTTCTTGGGAGGAGAGCAATGACCAAGCTTGATAAAATAGTGAAGAGTAGAGACATCACACTGGCAACAAAGATCCACATAGATAAAGCAATGGTATTCCCCATAGTAACCTGTGAATGTGTGACCTGGACCACAAGGAAGGCTGAGTGAAGGAAGATAGACACTTTTGAACTGTGGTGCTGGAGGAAAATTCTGAGAGTGCTGTAGACCACAAGATCGAACCAGTCCATCCTCCAGGAATTAAAGCCTGACTGCTCACTGGAAGGAAGAATATTAGAGGCAAAGATGAAGTACTTTGGCCACAGAATGAGAAGACAGGAAAGCTTAGAGAAGAGAATGATTGTAGGGAAAATGGAAGGAAAAGGGAAGAAGGGCTGACCAAGAGAAAGATGGATGGTATCTTTGAAGTGACTGGCTTGACTTCGAAGGAACTGGGGGTGGACACAGCTGGCCGATATGGAGCTCTGGCATGGGCTGGTCCATGAAGTCATGAAGAGTCGGAAGTGACTGAACAAATAAACAACAGCACAATGGCAGTTTAAGTGGAAGAAGGGTGCTATAACAATGTTGTGTGATGGGTCACTTAGAAGTTGGTGGTTCACAGAGTTGGGTTTTCTTGATGTTTTGGGCTTGAACTCCCAGAAGCCCCAGACAACTTAACGAACAGGAATTCTGGAAATTGTAGTCTAAAACTCCTAGAGTTTAGAAATCACTGCCCTAAGACATACACCCCTTCCCTTCTTTCATGCTTTTCATGGAAACTAAGGGTGAATTTACACTGTGGAATGAATGCAGTTTGACCACTGAGTCCCCAGGTTAAAGCCTTGTGCCAGCAGGACTGCTGACCAAAAGTTCAGTGGTTCAAATCCAGGGAGTGGGGTAAGCTCCTGTCTTCCTATGCAGAGACATGGAAAGATTCCATCAGCGTTGCCTCCGAAAAATCCTGCAAATCTCTTGAGAAGACAGGTGGACAAATGTCAGTGTGCTGGAAGAAGCAAAGACCAGCAGCACTGAAGTGATGGTCCTCCGCCATCAACTCCGCTGGACCGGCCACATTGTCCAAATGCCCGACCACCGTCTCCCAAAGCAGTTGCTCTACTCTGAACTCAAGAATGGAAAACAGAATATTGGAGGACAGGAAAAGAGATTTAAAGATGGGCTCAATGCCAACCTTAAAACTGTGGCATTGACACCAAGAACTGGGAAGCCCTGGCCCTTGAGCGCTCTAGCTGAAGGTCAGCTGTGAACAGCATCAAGCCAACCCCAACCATGACCGCCTTCCACCTGGAAACCGATGCCCTCACTGCGGGAGAATATGCGGGTCAAGAATAGGGCTCCACAGCCACGTACATACCCACCGCCAGGACACCACACTTGGAGGACAATCTTACTTGGACAACGAGGGCTCGCCTAAGAAGAATTCATAGAAGTGTATTTTAAAAGCTGCCATGTATCCTTCCCTATTTATTATGTTCCAACACACACCCACCCCCTTCTTCCTGCATTTGAAATGTTGGCTGTAAATGTTTTGAGTGATCAGCTGAAGATCTTGTCCACATATTTTGTGGAACCAATTTGGGGTCAAAATAGGGCATTCTGTGAAATTGTTTAGAAAGGCTTTCTGAGAAAGGATTTCCCAGAACTTAGCTATACAGTCGTCCCTCTGTTTCCTCGGATTCTGCATTGGTGGATTCAACATCTACAGCTTGAAAACATTTTTTAGAAGAATAAATAAATAAGCAAGCATTGATTTTACCATTTTATAGAAAGGGTACCATTTTAATGAATCATTGTATATCATGGGACTTGAGCATCCACAGGTTTTGGTATCCACTTCAGTCCTGGAGGCAAAATGCCTGCGGATACAGAGGGCTCACTTTATAAGAATCATAGAATCCTCAAGTTGGAAGAAACCTCATGGGCCATCCAGTCCAACCTCCTGCCAAGAAGCAGGAAAATGCATTCAAAACACCCCTGACAGATGGCCATCCAGCCTCTGCTTAAAAGCCTCCAAAGAAGGAGCCTCCACCACACAAAGCTTTTTGTACCTTTCAGTGTGTAATGTCATCTCCTTATTTATAAATTAATGATACAGTGTTGTCTTTATTTGTAAAAATAACCAAGTTCTGTTGGTTATCAAGAAAAAGTTTTCTTAGATCTACAGAGACACTCGCTGGAACACTTCAGCAAGCAAGAGTTCAAAAGTGGCAGGCTCAAACCCAGCACCTCAATCTGTGGGTGATACCAGATGAGAGACTCCCCCCTGGGCACACAGAAGACTGGGTGACTTTGAAGGCGCTGAACAGACTGCGCTCTGGCACCACGAGATGCAGAGCCAGTCTTAAGAAATGGGGCTACAAAGTTGAATCCACAACATGTGAGTGTGGAGAAGAGCAAACCACTGACCACCTGATGCAATGCAACCTGAGCCCTGCCACATGCATGATGGAGGAACTCCTTGCGGCAACACCAGAGGCACTCCAAGTGGCCAGATACTGGTCAAAGGACATTTAATCAGCTACCAAGTTTGCAAAATGTGTATTTTTTTATCTGTTTGTTTGTTTTGTTCTGTTAGAAATGCAATACAATGTTCTGGTTGCGGATGACACGATAAATAAATAAAATACCAAGTTCTGGGTGGGAGAAAGAACTCTTGTCTGTTGGAATGTTACAATTGTCCACCTTTTCGCAACCTCTGAGGATGCCTGTCATAGATGTGGGCAAAATGTCAGGAGGTAATGCTTCTGGAACATGATGATACAGCCCGGAAAACTCACAGCAACCCAGTGATTCCGGCCATGAACGCCTTCGACAACACATACGCTATTTTAGACTGTTCCTTTGTAGCACTCTGAGACAATGTTACCTGCCATGATTCAATCCGAGGGAATCCTAGGATTTGCAATTTAGGGAGGGGCATTTAAAGAGGTCTAGTGTCTCATCATACTACAGGTACCAGGATTTCACAGGATGCTGTCATGATAGTTGAAGTGGAATCATAACACTATAATTGTGTGATGTGAAAGGTCTCATGTATCTTCATAAAGAGGAAAGATGTGGAGAGAAGGAATCGTTGAGTGCGTCTACACCAGGCATAGGCAAACTTTGACCTTCCAGGTGTTTTGGACTTCTACTCCAACAATTCCTAACAGCCTGGAAGGCCAAAGTTTGCCCATGCCAGGTCTACACTGTAGAATTAATGTAGTTTGAAACCACTTTCACAGCCATGGCTCAATGTTATAGAATACTGGGAATGGTAGTTTTACAAAGTCTTTAGTCTTTAGTCAAAGAAGACTAATAGCTCACTTAACTACAAACCCTATAATTCCACAGCATTGAATCAACACACAGTCTTAACCTCAAAAGAAGGTAATGGCAGACTTCTCCGGGACAAACCTTGCCAAGAAAATTCCAAAAGACCTGCCATAGATCAAAAATGACTTGAGAACACACAGCAACCATTCTTTTGCACAGAAACGAAATGCAGTAGAATATTACTTGCAAAGCAAGGCATATATCACTTTGGAAGATGAGCAGATCTGTTGATTCATTGAATAACATCATTAGGGTCTGTAATAATGTTACGAAAGCAAACATGGAATTCAGGTCTGCTGCAGGATCTGTTTTCTTTCAGTATCTCTGCTGTTTCTGATGGGTACGTTACATTTAACAGAGTTTTTGTAAGCTAAAGAATAGTCTTCCACTGAGTTTATAACCTGAATGCTCATAAAGACCGCAAGTAAACATGTTTATATTTCAGTTAAAATTTGGTATACAGCAGACTCTTAGTATCTGCTGGAGTTTGGTTGCAGGACCTCCTCCGATGGTTACCCAAATCTGTGGATGCTCAAGTCCCATTATTTGCAATGGCATAGTAAAGTTGTGTCAATATATGCAATGGCATAATAAAGATCCCAGCTGTCAGCCCTAGCTTCTGTCTACCTAACAGTTCCAAAGCATGTAATGCAAGTAGGATCAATAGGTAGCGCCTCAGCAGGGAGGTAAAAGGGTGCCCCGTGCAGACATGCCGACAATTATCAGAGAAAGTCTATGGACAATAGGCTCCTTGATGTAGAAAAAAAAATGAAAGAAGAGCACTTCCATGTGGCTGGGGTTAAGCATTGCCTCCAAACTCCGGAGATGGAAAGGGGAAGGCCTTTACCTCTCTCTGT